AGAGAGAGAGAGAGAGAGAGAGAGAGAGAGAGAGAGAGAGAGAGAGAAGCTGGGATAAATAACATGCTGACAGGTCATAGCAACTTCAATTGTAGAAGAGAGGTATTCCAGAGCCATGCCTGCCCTGCCGTCGATTACCTGAGTTAACTCTGCCCGGCCCTTTTTAGTGATCTTTCCCAGCATAGCCTCAGACTCCTGGGTTGAAGTGAGCCTGTGTCAGCTTTACATGTCTCTGGGACTTTGAGTGCTCAGTACAGCGCTTGGGCAGAGTGCTCTCTGTGCAAGCACAGCCATGTAGCCGTGGGCTAGTCATGATCTGCAGCAGTTGTTCTAGACAAGGTTTATCATTAGATGGGTTAAGATGCTTTTACCTTTACAGTATCATAGTAAAGAAGTTTCAGGACCTTAAAATAGCTGACGTCTCTCTCTCTCTTTCAACAGTTTGAATTGTTTTATAGCCAGCATTTCAGTGGAAGGAAACTGACGTGGTTACATTATCTCTGTACAGGTAAAGAACGATTACTTGCTACTCATTTAATGATATTTATGTGATTGTGTCCCTTTAGAATGTTAATTCCTATGTTCTAATTCTAGTTTTTAACCTCCTTCCTCCATCTCCCTTTCTGGTATCATTAAGGAACTATATAATGCTGATAATAATGTTCATTTTAAGACATTCTTTGAGTTTTATAATGACAGTACATTTTTGCAGCCAATTGTTTTATAGATAGTAGAGAGTTTGTTTAGAAAAGCAGACTGATGGGTATTTTTGCTGTCCTCTAAAGTGTCCTTAGCCCTGTCCGCCGACTTGTATTTAAAACACTGTAAGAATGCCTTCCTCCCTATCTGCAGAAGATCAAAGCCCGGAAAGGCAAATAACCATCCTTCATAGCTCGTGTAATAAAGGTGTCTGCTGTTGTATGTAAAAAAAAAAAAAAAAAGGAATGCCTTCCTCCTCAGTTCCCCGGAGATGGTCAGCAGAGCAAAGGCACGTAGTCTCCTTAGGATTCAGGAAGGGCTGTGGATCAGCACTCACAGACCTGCTCAGAGCTGGCTGCATCTCCACTTCCAGGGAATCGGATGCCCTCCTCAGGCCTCCACAGGGACCAGGCATGCATGTTGTGCAGATATACATGCAAGCAAAACACCCGCACACATAAAATTATAAACAACAAAAAAGAAATGATATAAGGAAGACTATCCTGGTGCGGTGATCTTTATTAGGAACCCTGCTTTTCCCTTAAAAAGGATGATCTCAGTACCTATGTCATTTGCTTTTGTATGACTGGCTTGCATCTTAGACTATAGCTTATTAGTAGTACTGCATTGATTGTGCAAGTTTATTGAATAAATTGGGTATTCTGATTTTCTTCCTACGTGTGAAATATCTTTGATCTTTACATTTTCATCTTTACTTTAATTTCAAGCCTGTGTGTGTGTGTGTGTGTGTGTGGGGGGGTGTTTCTGGCATGAGGATATCAGAGTAAAACTATGAATTGATTCTCTTCTTCCACAGTTTGGTTACCAGGGTTGAACTTAAGCCATCAGACTTAGAGGACACACATAATTAGAGTTCCCAGCTGTCTCTCTCTGCCCTTTGTTTTTCTCACTGGTTTTTCTCTGGTTTTGCTGCCTTTCTCTCCCTCCTGCCAGTTCTGCTTTAGCTTTCCTGTTGCTATTTATCTAAAGTCATTGCTTAAACTTGGACAAAGATGTAATAGGTCAACTGTTACTATATACTACATATTCACTAATTCAACATTGACAGCCCGTGTCCAGTTAAGAACTTTCAAATGCCTTTCCATTAACCTTAAGATGTCTTTGGTTTTTTTTTTTTTTTTTTTTTTTTTTAAGGAAAACAATCCAGAATGTCAAATGGAAACACTTTGGATGATCACTGTACTGTCAATTTTTGTTTTAATTGTAGGTGAAGTTAAAATGAACTATTTGGGAAAACCGTATGTAGCTATGGTTACAACCTACCAAATGGCAGTTCTTCTTGCCTTTAACAACAGTGAAACTGTCAGCTACAAGGAACTTCAAGACAGCACCCAGATGAATGAAAAGGAGCTGACCAAAACAATCAAATCATTACTTGATGTGAAAATGATTAACCATGATTCAGAAAAGGTAACCTTCCCAAGGGATTTCAGCCCTTAGAAGATAGAGGCTCTTGTATAGGATATTGGCAGTTTTAAGGTTGTGTGATATTCATGTGACCTGTAAGTTAGCTTAGCAACTTTCCTAGGAGGAAAGGCCATTTGGCCTTTTCAAAATAAACAAAGTACTATCAGTGGTTAACTGGATACAGTTTGAAAGCAACAGTTCCTCTGAGTCAACTCACTTATTAGTATTATGGTTACTGTAGCAGTTTCAGACAGAACATAGTATATATAATGACTGGGCTTTAAAGTAGCTACTTCCTAAATAGAAACTGAGTAACATTCTGATAAATGTGAAATCAGAAAAAAACTTTTGTTTTAAATATAGGAAGATATCGATGCAGAGTCTTCATTTTCATTAAATATGAGCTTCAGCAGTAAGAGAACAAAATTTAAGATTACTACGTCAATGCAGAAGGATACACCACAAGTGAGTACTGGTTTGAATGCCATCTCTTCTAGAAATATTTAGGCAGTGCATTGAATGAGTCTGTTTTATACTGAGATCAAGCAAACCTCTGCACTTTAAAATTAATAACATGATAGTGCTTTTCTGGTTTATTCTTGCATTTGTTGGCCTTACTGTCTTCCAGTATGTTAGTGTTTAAAAAAATAGACAGCTTAGGCAAGACAGATCTAGCTCAGTTATGTTCTCATTAATTAGTACATATCAGTTATAGGTAGTTGTGGCTTTGTTGTGATATTTTCACGCATGTATACAATATATTTCTCTCCTTCCTCTCCTACTTTACTGCTGCCACCCTCTGCCCAGCCAGCCCCTCTACTTTGTTTTTCTTTAATGACTCCATGAGTTGAATTCAGATTACTTAAAGGAACTTGAGCAACGAAATGTGTCTACATTTCGGCTTTAGTCAGGGTTTTACTGCTGCGAACAGACACCATGACCAAGACAACTCTTATAAGAACAACATTTAACTGGGGCTGGCTTACAGGTTCAGAGGTTCAGTCCATTATCACCAAGGCGAGAACATGGTAGCATCCAGGCAGGCATGGTGCAGGTGGAGCTGAGAGTTCTACATCTTCATATGAAGGCTGCTAGCAGAATATTGACTTACAGGCAGCTAGGATGAGGGTCTTAAAGCTCACACCCACAATGACACACATATTCCAACAAGGCCATACCTATTCCAACAGGACTACACTTTCAAATAGTGTCACTCCCTGGGCCAAGCATAGACAGACCATCACAACTACTGAGCAAAATGCTTCTTTCTTAAACATTAGCTGGATATGAGGTGGAACTGAGTGGGTAAGGAAGAGACAGTATATGAACATGAATGAGTGAGTGAATTAACAGAAGTGTTGAATCAGAACTTTAAATTTATGCAAATGTTCTGCCAGTAAACTGTATCCCCAGCCCCAGATTTTATTTTAAAACATACTTAGGGCTTGTGAGTGTGGCTTAAAGGTAGAGTACCTTCCTCAAAGAAGGGAAGGCTAAGAGTGGTAGGAAGTTTAGCTTTTCATTACCTTCTTGTTTAAAATGCCTTTCTTGACGTGATCTAATTTCATCTTTGAAACTGATTTTTATAAAAGAAAATCTTAGGAAATACTTATCAAACATGTGTATGAATGCACAACTTGCCCTGGACAGTTTGGTATGTTGAGCCGGCAGGAGTGGGGTTGAGACTCTTGGGTGTAGTCCTGTGACTGGCTTTGGACTGAATTCAGCAGTGATCGTTGCTTTGGTGTGCAGTGGGGTTTATTCGGAAACTTTCCTAACTGCCTTTGTGCTCAGTGTGGGATGGGAAGTAGATATGAGGCCCTCTGGAGGAACTATTTTATGAAGGAGACATGCATATTAATTGCCATGTGTCTTGAACTTTAATGTGACCCAGGTCTCCTTTTCTGTAGAATGAGTAATCTGAGGTGTTTGTGTTTAAAAGCTGCTGTAGTCTGCCTCAAGCCCTTGCTTTTCAGTAGTGATCAGACTTTTCTGGCCTGTCTTCCCTGTCTTCTCTGCATGAGACAGAAACCCCTCCCCTCAGTCCCTCAGTCCCCAGCTGTAGCCTATCCATTTTGTGCACTGAGAGTTAATCACTGCACCTTGCTACAACTTCATCTGAAAGCATCTTGGCACAGAGGCAAGTCTTAAAATATTGTTATGTGCAACTTAAGTCCTTATTTATTGTGTATTTATATTGCGTTATAGTTTGTCTTCACAAATCTATAATCCACTAGAGGTGTTACAGGATGGTTGTGCTATTGGCACAGCTTTAGTATGTTTTCTTGTTGTTGTTGCTGCTGCTTTTTATTGGTTTGTGTTGAGCAGTGTATGTGTATGATAGCTAGTGGTCAATTTTGGGTGTGATTACTTGAAGCTGTTTCCCTTCCATCCCTCCCCCACCTTCCCTTTTTATTCTGAGGTAGCGTTTTTTTGTTGTTGTTGTTGTTTGTTTGTTTTTTGTTTTTGTTTTGTCCCTGGTTTCCAATAGGCTAACTGACCTGCAGTAGCACTGACACACATGACACCATGCCTGCTTTCTTACACAGAAGCCGGGCATGGAACTCTGCCATGCTTATATAGCATAGAAAGCACTTCACCAGCTAAGCTAACTCCCTAGACCCCTGAGTATTTTTTTTTTAAGACTTTTTTGTTTTGTTTTGCCTGCAAGTTTGTTTGTGCACCTTATTCATACCTGAGGCAAGAGTCCAGAAGTGGGTGGGGCTTGTTCACAGTGTGAAGACTGGAGACTAAGTCTGGATGTTCTATGAAGGGAGACCTCAGCTGGTGGACCGTCAATGACAGTGTCCTATTTGTGGGGGACCCACACCCCTATTTTTTTTTTTATAAAAACAGGAACTGGAACAGACTAGAAGTGCAGTAGATGAGGACCGGAAAATGTATCTTCAAGCTGCTATCGTCCGCATCATGAAAGCACGCAAGGTGCTTCGGCACAACGCCCTCATTCAGGAGGTAACAGGGAAAAGCTTTGGGCTTCGGGGCTGGACCTTGTTAATGTTGAGGCAGGACTAATGTTGGCCAAATGGCATAAAGAAATGTTTGTTTTAAAGAGTTCTCAAAATTTCAAAATTTCAGTTTAGAGCTGACTTTGCTATGTTTGAACTAGAGATTCTGAATTTACCAAGTGTTAAATGGCCTTTCCATCTGGAGAAGGGAGCCACTTCAGTGAGTGTTCCTTCATTCTGTTTATGCACAAATATTTGTGTGGGACAAACATCCTAGTGTTGCTCAGCAGTGCAGAGCTCTCAGCATACACTGAAAGAAAGGTTTGTGGTATTAAGAAGAACATCAGAGTAAAAGTAGCACTAGCACTAAACGGACATGGAGCAGTTGACATGGTTGATAATTTCACTATGTGTAAGCTTTACTATTTTGCCATATCTTATTCTGCACTTTATTTCCTCTCTAATGAAAGCATCAGGTATTGACTTTACTGTGCACACAAACTGCACTGTTGTTACCCTGCAGGGACTGATAGGTGTTGCATAGTGATGTGCTACCTATTCCACTGGGTCCCTCTGTTACAGAACTCTGTTTTCAGTTCAACATTCACACACCCTTTCCTTTAGATAGCTCTGTTGATGCCGAAATGTGAGGCTCCTAATAACTAATTAGAAATGGATGCTTTTGCTGATTAACTTGAATAGTTTGACTCCCTGTCTGTCTCACAGGTAATCAGTCAGTCAAGAGCCAGGTTCAATCCCAGTATCAGCATGATTAAGAAGTGCATAGAAGTTCTAATAGACAAGCAGTACATTGAGCGCAGCCAAGCGTCTGCAGATGAATACAGTTACGTCGCGTGACGCCTTCTCCTGGTGCGGGTGTGAGGTCATTGCCATCCCCGTTTGGTGAGCTCCTGTGGGAGAAAGCAGGCCTGTGCCTCCATACTTTGGTCGTCTGGCAGCCCCTGTTTTTCTGCTGTTTACAACATCACCAGTGCCACGTCATGAGCGTCAGAGAAAATGCCTAGAGATATTTCAAGCTCATGTCTTTATGACGTTTCTTAAAACTTTATTAAAAGAATGAGTGAAGTATTGCTGAAATGTGGTATTTGGTTGGGTACCATGCTTTCTCCCCTTCACGTTTGCAGTTGATGTGTTTTTTTTTTTTAATGTATCTTAAAGGACATAAAATAAAAACTTAAATATTGTAATATGACAGATAACCTAATAATTGTATCTACATTAAAATGACAAACATGATGTTGCTGCTTGTCAAATAAAAAAATAAATAAACATAATGCCTTTTTCTATGTTGATGGAATATCAGGTTGGACAGAAAATAAGACATTTGTAAATGCCCATGAGTCACCCAAGCAGCAAACAGCGTTTCGCCATTTCATGTTGGCAGTGGATTCACTTGGGCTCCCATCTACCCTTCAGTTAAATTTACCAGGATCCTGGTTTTGAATACATAAGATTGTGAGTTTGGGCTAATAGCATAAGCAGTTTTTGCATTTTGAGGAGGATGTGATTCTGTCTGTTTTGGGGATGTGCTGTACCACAGAGATGGAGTAGTGGCTACTGTGCAGTGACTTACAGGCTGGTAGAAAAGAGCTGCTCACTTTTGACTGCTCCTCATGATGCATTGACACTAACGTAATGGCAGTGGCTCATCTCCCAGAGTTTAGGAGACTGAGTACAGTGAATTCCTTCCAGTTCCCCCTGCCCATCGCTGGCACCCTTCTCCAGTGCAGATGACTCCCCCATCACAAGTTGATAGCAGTGGCCCTTAACACTAGGGCATTCCACCAGGCACCTTGTACAGGGACATGAGATTTCATGAGTTTGTTTCTTGTAGATAACGGGCATTCAAATACTCTGGTTATCATATTCTCCATCTGCCATCTTGAGATCACATTGCTATTTTAAACCAGAGTATTTATATCTAACAGATAAGGCCTTAAACCCACAATAATATTCTGAACAAATAAATAGTACTTAGTTTACATTCTCATGTGGTTCATACTTAAATTTATTTAATGATTGGTTGATTTGATTGTACCTTTTGTATCTCAAGTGTTCAAAATCTACTGGACATCCAATGACTTCTGCTGTCTTTATTATTTTGCCTTTCTACCTCGTGTGGATAATGGCAAAGCATATACTATTGTACATTCTTGCTCAAAGAACAAGGCTCTTATTTTGATAACTTGTTGATAAGTTCCAAATTTATAAATATTACATTAAGTCATAATCTGATACCTATTGTCAAGAAATATTATGTTGAAAAGTAGAAAAATATTTGTAACAAATTCAAGTTTTCTTACATTTTCTTCTTACTGACGATCAGAAAGAAGAAGGGAATGCAGGTAAGTTGAGGCTCCATTGAGGAAGTGAAAATGTACTCCTTGAATTTTGCTCAGCCCACTTCTTGCCCTGATGCGACTCTGACAAGAGCTCTAGCCTGGCTTTGCCAGCTCAGAGAGGTTGGGCTCACTGCCACACCAGTGCTTAGGGGCAGAGTGGCTCAATTACAGGAAGGTAGGAGGGGGAAGGGACTTTTTTATGCCTTATTGCCAGGTGGTGGTGGGAAGCCTCAAATATTTATTAAAAGTCAGTTCTGACTGCAAAATGACTCTTGCAGACAAGCCTGAAGATCAGAGTTTGGTTCCGAATATCCATGTTAAGGGAGAGAAATACACACACACACACACACACACACACACACACACATCTCTATTTTTGACTCTTATGTCTTATGTTTTGGTCTATATTTTTATGGTCTCTGGTCTTTTGGAGCTCTTAGTCTGATAGTAGTTAGAAATCTCTGGAAATAAGTAAGTACTAATGGAGAGCTCTAGGTATCATGGACCTGCACTTACAACATTTCAGTTTCCACCATCATTGAAGTTGTGATCAGTTGAGTGCAGTCACTTCCTGACTAGTCCTAAATTTCCTCTGACCTCCAACACAGGTACTGGGTTGGCTGCAGTCCTGGATGAAGTTAGATTCCAGGTACACTTGTCCTGTACCATACCATGTGTCCCCCAGACCTCTTTGTTGCCTGGCTCCACTAGTGTTTCATACTGGAGGACCACTAGGTCACTTTGGTGCTCCAGAGCTACAAAGAGTAGGTGATTGCCTTGGGAGGCAGAGGCAGGCGATTTCTGAGTTCGAGGCCAGCCTGGTCTAAAGAGTGAGTTCAAGGACAGCCAGGACTATACAGAGAAACCCTGACTCGGGGAAAAAAAAAAAAACAACAACAACCAAAAACAAAACAAAAAAGAGCACGTGCTTGCAGCTGGCTTGCATAGCAATTCTTTGAGGCCTCTTTCTGCAAACTATGTTCCTCTTTGACTGTGGCCTCTAAACCACTGTTTGGACCAAATTCCTGGGAAGCACCTGCTGTTACAGGCAAACCCATTATCCATAAGCTTCCTCAGGAAGCTCCTGACTGCCTCTGAGACTAGGTTCCACAAATCTAAGACTTAAGCTATGCTAAGACAGCCTTGGGCTGCAAAATGTTTTATAGCTTATGACTTATGGCCTAGTTTTGGTTCTGATTCCAGAAAATTTTGAGAGTTCTTCTTCCTCTTCCCCATGACCCCGTCTCTCTGCCATCTCTCTCCTGGATCAGTATGTTGCCCAGGCTTGCCTACTACTCACTATGTAGCACAAGCTGGCCTCAGACTTTCAATCCTATATCAGCTTCCAAATTGTTGATACTACAGTTATCCTGAGAGAGAATTTTATAGCAAGTATAGCTAAAATACACAAATCACTTTTGCCTCTCATATAAAACTATTCTCACTAAACCCACTTAAAAGTAGTTTCTAGAATTCATAGAGGAATTTAATATGTAAAAGTCCACAGATGCTACCTTTCTTTCTCTAGAAAGATGAGGACCGAGGACATGTACTTCTCTTATCCTAGGCTCCCATTATCTGGGCAGCTAGAAACCTGTTCTCTAGAATGGAGGCCTCTGTGTCTCAGAAGCCAAGTGTCAGTAAAATCTAGGACCAATTCCTTCCAACTATTACCTTTACAAGAATGTCTTAAATTTCTCTTCTCAACCTGGCATAATGGTTCATATCAGTAATCTCAACACTTGAGAGGCTAAGACATACTGATTGTCATGGGTTTAGGCTGGTGTGGGCAATAGTGTGAGACCCTGCTTAAAATACAGGCTGTAGATATGCCTCAGAATAATACATATTATTGTTGCAGAGGACCCATGCTGTCTCATAACTTCCTGTAGCAGCTCTAGGAAATCCAGTGCCCTCTCTGGATTCTGAGGACATCTGTACTCTCACCTACATAGATCTACACACACACACACAAACACTCTCTCTCTCTCTCTCTCTCTCTCTCTCTCTCTCTCTCAATCTCTCTCTCTCTCTCTCTCACACACACACACACACACACACAGAGAGAGAGAGTTAAAAATAAATCTTTTAAATGTCTGGATGTCTGGACAGATGGTTCAGTGTTTAAGAGCTCTGGTTGTTCAATCAATGGACCCTGGTTCAATTCCCAGCAACACATGGCACTCATAACTATTTGTGATTTCAGTTTGAAGGGATCTGATACACACACACAGACAGACGTGTAGACAAAATACCAATGCACATTAACAAATACATAAATTAGTCAATTAATGAAATAAAGTTATGTCTTGTTTCAGAAGTCACTTCAGGGTGTAGATCAGTGCTAGATCAAGGGGTTGGCTTCCAGGCCCTGGTCAAAAAACAACAACAAAATTAGAAATAGTGTCTCTTACATCTGAAGCATCATAGTTTTTGGTTATTATCAAAAGTGCTTTTCTGCAAGCTCAACTAAATAAAAAGGGCTTCCATTTGTTCAAGGCATGGTGTGTTTCTGACACTCTAAATTAGGCCCAAGCCTGGAGCTCTAGTTTATGATTGTGTGTGAAGTGCCCAGTACAAAGGAGATTATTAGAGACTCTGGCAGTGCCCAGGAGTGGACCAGTCAGCAAAAGCTAGGCTCAGGGAGCAACTGGGTTTGGAGGTCAAACTACCCCTACCCAAGTCCCCAAACCTGTCACCATCTCAAGGGACACATGCCAGCCTAGAAATCTGTCTCCCTCTTGTGGCAGCAAGTAGATCAGTTCACCTATTCAAGCAAGTGATATTCTACTAGAGCTATGAACTAGTGTCTTCCTCAGGATGTCATAGTAACCAGTGCAAAATCAGGCTGCAAGAGCAAATGCTACAGAGCCTGGCTTGTTTAAGAGGACTGCAATTCTACATCCAGCCCACGGATACTACAGACATGAATGCGATGTGTTGAACAATTCATCTCCACTTAGTACCTGGCAAAAGCTGACCCTAAGAGAGTACATGGATGTTATATTTGTGTGTGTGCACGTCTATGCTGTCTGTGTGTGATCATGCATGGCTATACTATGGCATCTGGGTCTATGCATGGCTATTGTCTCTGTGTGTAAGCATTGCTGTGGTGTTTGTGTGTGCATGCATGGCTATGGTGTCTGTGTGTTTATGTGTGCATGGCTATGGTATCTGTGTGTGTGTGTGTTTGTGGGCATGGCCAAAGTGTCTGTATGTGGGTATAGCTATGGTGTCTGTGTGAACGTGCATGGCTATGGTCTGAGTGTGTGTACATGGCTATGATGTCTCTGTGTGGTCACACACAGCTATGGTTTCAATGTGCGAGCATGTATGACTATGGTGTTTTTTAGTGAGAGTGCATGGCTATGGTGTCTGTGTGTGTACATGTGTTTGTATAGATGACTATGAATCTGTATGTGTACATGGTATGGTGTCTGTGTGTGCATGCATGGCTGTGCTTTGATCTGAGAGCCATCTATTCCAGTGTCCTAGGATCAAGATTATCTGGACCAAATCAAGTTCCTTGCCTGTTGTTCATTTTAGGGTTCAATCAAGAAAGGTTGCTGTGGTAGTTCCAATAGGACTGACCCCCTAGACACATGTTTGAATACTTGGTCCATAGGGAGTGGCACTATTAGGTGTGGCCTTGTTGGAGGAAGTGTGCCACCGTGAGGGGAGGCTTTGAGATCTCCTATATGCTCAAGCTATGCCCACTATGACACGCAGTCTTCTTTTACTGCCTGCTAATCAAGATGTAGAACTCTGAGCTGGGAAATGAACTCGGGACCCCAAGAAGAGAAGAAGAGAAGAGAAGAGAGGAGCAGAGTGGAGCAGAGCAGAGCAGAGCAGAGCAGGCAGTTCTCTTAACTGCTGAGCCATCTCTCCTCCCCTGCCAGCTTCCCCCGTCTACTGAAACAGCACTTCTCTGTGTGGCTCTGGTT